CCCCCCTTCCCCGGACTGTGAAGCCACCCCGGCCCCCCGCCGCAGGCTGCGTGCCACCTCCATCCATCCCTCCCTCCATCCCTGGGACATCCTCCCCAACTGAGCTTCACCATCCGGCTGTGCCAAAACTCAGCCAGGGGGCTCTGTCCTGGGCTTCCCCGGGCTCGCCCTGCCCCGGCAGCTCGGCTGAAGGAAATGAAAGGCAATGGGTTTTGCATGTTTTCTGGCATGAATTAAAACACTTAACTTGTGTATGTGTGAGTGTAAGTTTGTTTGTTCTAGCGTTTGTGTAGCCGTTAGCAACAGGTCTTGGCCCAGCGGATTGATCCATCAAGGTTTTCCTCTTGCTTCGGTGAAGACTTGGCTTTGAGAAGTACTAACTGTCCTTGTCTCACCCCTTCTCCCACCTCTGCCTGCCCCTTCTTTCTATGACCAGAAGAATTTGAAAAATGTTTCGTTTTGGGTTTTTTTTGTTGTTTTGGTTGTTTCTCCCTCCCCCCCCCAAGTACGATGCACTGGGTTTCTATTCTCATCCATTCTTCTCTGGTTTTAAAGTCAGGGTTATTATATCCTTTTTTTTTTTCTTCAGACTTCTATATAAAGAACAGCTGTAGAATATCTAACCTCTTTTTTTTCCACATCTTTCTGATTGGAGAGCCTCCAGTCCTGCCAAATAATCTGTCATCCTTATGGGAATACCGAACAAAAAAAAGTTATGAGTATTTTTGTACCATGTGTAATAAGGAAATATTTATGCATCATAAAGAATTTCTTGTGTGTTTGTGTGCAATTAATTATTATTATTATTAAAGAGAAATTGTAATCCTGTAAGATAAGTTAATGTTTAGTTAAAAGCTTGACTGAGAAGGGTTGTCTTCTGTAACGATGATTCAGTCAGGCATAGTAAACAAGAAATTGTGCAATTTTTGTTTTAGCATCTTCTGGCTTGGTATTGAAGTGCTTTAAGTATTATCTGACCATGGCTGTCCCACTTGTATTAAAGGGTTTGAGAATAAGTTGCTCTATCATTGCTGATCCTATGAGAATGTGAAACTGGATAATATATGAAATGCAACAAAAAAAAATGCCCAGAGGCTGCTGTGACTCTTTTTCTGTGCTCCCTTGTGTTTTCTTTTGGAGGGGCTGGGATGCTTCAGCCCTGGTGGTACCTGTGCCCCTTCCCTACCCACTTCCCGGGGATGTGGGCTGCTCTGGGATGCTGATGAAGAGAAAGGGCAAGTCCTTGCCTCCAGAGGCCTGTGTTGGAGGGGCTGTTGAGGCTGAGCTTGTCTGGAGGCCTCTCAGAGGGCAACCCTGAGTTTTGGTTTTTTGTTTTTTTTTTTTTTGGGCCTCTCCTCCCTGCCAGCGCCCTTCCTCCCCACCAGCTGCACAGGGAGGCGAGATGGCCATAGAAGGCAAAT